ATATATACAATAATTCGTCGTTTTTTTCTTTTTGAACTGATCGGTATGGTATCACTGGATGGAAATGATTGAGAAGTAATAAATTTATTATTTGTTTTACTTAAATATACTTGAAACTGAGAAAATATTGCAATTTTGGGACAAAAAATTCTCGACGTGCGTGGCACGTCATTCCAGCGCAAGAGGACTAATCACTCGCGCTTGCAAATTGATTGCGGACCTTAACGAGTGACCGAACCGTATATATACAATAATTCGTCATTTTCTTTTTGAATTGGTCAGTATGTTATCACTGGATAGAAATGATTGAGAAGTAATAAATTTGTTATTTGTTTTACTTAAATATACTTGAAACTGAGAAGATATTGCAATTTTGGAACAAAAGAGTCTCGACGTGCGTTGCAAGAGATTAAAGCGTTGATTCTCTTCTGTCTTTCACTTTGAGCTGTTTTTTCTCTGTATTTATTATATCCCATAACTAGCGATGGGATGAAGTATGTACTACAATTGGTTCGAACCTCTTCTGAGCACCTGTTCAGGAAAATAAAATGTACCAAGATAATTGAATCGTCGTGGATTGTATCTGAACTTCAACAAATATCTGTAATTAAATCAAATCAAAATTATGTAAAGCATACGCGAATATAATTATAAGTATGACGCGTCGAAAACGAAAAAGCACCGACAAATATATTTTTCGAGAGATAAGAGATTATTGAGAACCATTATTGTATGATATTTTAATTCTTCTTTTTTGTCTGTAGAAAATTATTTATTCTGTTTGATTGTGTGATTTGTTTTCAATAAAAGATAAAAATTAATCCACGTGACGGTTTCATGGTTGTAACGATGCGCTCGAGCGGAACTTTCAGGATTCAGTTACTACTTTTAGAAAATTCAATTCACTGAAATATCGTCTTTGATGAATAGCATATAATTTATATCTATACTTGTTACAAGAATAATTCGTTGTGAAGAAATTGTTGATTTAAGAGAAATAAGAGAAAGAAGAAAAGAACACTTTCAAATCTCGTAAATTCTAAATTTCTTCTTATACTGTCAATAGCATTTAAAAGGAAATAATCCTATCAGTTTTATAATATATAATATTAGTCGTAGGAATTATTCGATTTCGATTTAAAAGCGAAAAGTAATTTATGTAATTTAAATTTGAGTTTTAAAGTTCAATTTTTTAAATTAAAAGATTAATAAATAGAAATCAGCGAAGAGCATAACTGAACCAATAACGATGAAAAATTGTCGATAATCTAAACTGTCATAACTTCGTAAAAACACATTATGTAGCGGGTGAGAAGGTAAAATGAAAAATACTTTTTCTTGGTAAATTATAAAATTATCCAAGTGTCTCTAAAAAAATTTTCTCATAACTAGAACTTCTATACTATGCCGAAAAATCAAATTTTTGTCGTTTAACTCTAATGAAAGAAGATCTTATTGTAAATTCTAAGAACTCGTTGTAAAGAGAAGGCTTCAGTCTTCCAAATAGTTGATCCAGTCATGAAAAAAATTTTTTAATATTTTTAGAGATGTTTGAATTTTTTACAGTTTTCACAAAAAGAAAAAAAAGTATCCACACTTTTCCACACTCGTTAGATGACGCAAAATCACTTTCGAAAGGAACGAACTATCAAAATGGAGATTCTATGCTCGTTGTACGTTTTCTTTTACAAAGTTATATAACAATTTAAATTATCGATAATTTTTCATCGGTCTTGAGCCAGTTATATTCTTCACTGTTGTGTGAATATAACTATATTCTTCACGTTTCAATGTCAAATATATCACAATAATTAATGCTTAGCTAACATTCAAAAATTCAAAAAGAAAATCGTGAGGCAAGGTGTTGAAAAGATCTGTGCGATTCTGTCGTCAACTGTGCCGATAGGAAAACGATGTTTCCTAGCGTTCAATCGTTTCGAGTTCATTTTGAAAAAATGGAAACACGCGGATGAGATCCGTTACGATCTTTACGTAACTGGCGATACGGATACGAACGGTGTACCGATCTCTAATGTCGGATATTACAAAGATCGTCGAAGGATGCGAAGAGAGCTAGAAAGATGAGAGAAAGCGAATCCGACTGTCTCTCGGTATTGCGTCAACATAATTGCAGGAGCGGTGAAGAGAGGCTCTTGTGAACTCGTCCGCGCGCGTTGCATCAGCATTGTAGATGCTACGAAAATTATACAACGGCCGTATCGTCAATCTTCGCGAACTAAACTTCTTTCTAGGATGTTTGTCAAAACGAGGAAAGAAGATAAATACAACGGCGAGATAGAAGAGCTAAAGAAGAGATGATTTACAATTAGCGTGGGGAAATGTAAATGCTAGTAGAGAAGGGTAGTCTCGTTTTTAAAAATCAGCATATAGGTGGCAGAGACAATTTATTAAGGGAGTGATCATGTTGTGCTGTTTGATACGATATATATTTTTACGATTGTAAACAGGTTTACAGGTTTCAAATCGTAGATGAATTTTAGTTTAATCAAATCAAACTTCATCCGCCTGTTGTACGAATAGAAATGAGAAAAGAATATTATATAAATGTAAGTCCGCGCTTTGTAAAAAGGTTGTGTAACAAAAATGTGAAACTTAAAGATAATAAAGGACTGACGATACATCACAATGTGATAATAGTTTGATAGTATCTAATCTTCTAATCGTGTCTAATTTGTATGTGGTTGTACAAAGTTTGATTGCATGAAATTCAAAGTGTGATAAACACGATATATTTCTACGATGCCAAACTTGCATTTTTTAAATTTAAATGGAAATGTAAATGAAATTCTTTTACATTTTTGTAAAAGAACGTAATAATGAAGCGTTCGTTCTCGGACCTGTATTTATATAGTATTTTCTTTTACTTCTTATACTTTATTTTACTTTTTTTATATTTGTTATTATATTTATTATAATATTTATTATTATATTTATTATATTATATTTATTATATCATAGTTATTATTGTATTTATTATTATATTTATTGTATGCTATTATATTTTATTTATTGTATATTATATTATATAATATACAATTATTATATATTATATTGTATAATATACATTATTATATATTATATACAATTACTATATATTATATATTATATACAATTACTATATATTATATTGTATAGTATACATATGCTATTATATTATATTTATTGTATGTTATTATATTTTATTTATTGTATATTATATTGTATAATATTTATTATTACATTTATTATATTATATTTATTGTATATTATATTGTATAATATTTACTATTATATTTTATTTATTGTATATTATATTGTATAATGTTCATTATTATATTACATTTATTGTATTATACTTATTATTATATTTATTATATTATTATATTTTATGCTTAGTGTCTTAGTGTCTTTATACAAATAAAAAATAAATGTAACATCAACGTTACAAATTACATTGTACTCAGTGTTACACCAGTGTTACATAAATCATTATATCTACACACGTATAAATTATTATACGCGCAATGCAACAAAGTGCGTGGAGAGAGGAAAAATCAATTGCTGTTGAAATAGAAGTTTCTTTTACTAGAAAAATTAATTTACAGAAAATCTGAATCGAAATAGAGTGAAAAATTTTCTGCGAATTTTGCTCGTTGAAATTTAAAAAGAAAAATGTATCAATTACTGTTTTGTAAAAAAAGAGTGCACGATGACTTCAACTCGTGCAACACTTAACAATTATTTAATATCTCAGATTTAATTTATACATCGATTCAATTTACTACCGTTGTTGTTTTTTTTTTTTTTTTTTCGTTTTATTTCACGATGCAACGATCCAACGCGATAAATATTCCAGTAACACGCGTTGAATCACCGCGTTCCTCGATAAAATTCCACGCGCGACGCTCTAAAAAATAACCGATGTAGAATAATTCTCTGCATACGAAGGTGGAGGATGAGGCGGATAAAATAGGAACGGTGTTACATAAGCGAGCGTATCTCGCGTTTCACGCCGACCTTTAGGGCCGAATCGCTGATCGCTGATCACGAGTGGCGAGTGGGATTCACGAAGGAAGAAATCACGAGCAAGGAGAGCCGGGCGCGTTAGCGATGCAACGACACGACGACGTTCCCCAACTTTCCTCGTTGCCTCCTCGACAACAGGGACACGAGCGCCTTTCTGGAATACCAATGTTACTACATAGAAGACGTCCCGCATGGTATTCTGCATAGCGTCGTCTCGTCTTCTCCGACGAGTTCTTTGATCGCGCAACAGCGCTCGATTCGGCGGAAGCCGTTCGAAAACTTCGCCACGGTTCCACGAAGGAAACTTTCTGTCCTGGAGGCGGCTGCCGCGACCGCCGACGGTGGCAGCCGACAGAGTCTCTCCGGTTTATATAATAAAAAGAACCAGCCTCGCGTTCGCAGCCGTGTCGCGAATTACCGACACGCGAATTCTATCGTTACGCAACCGTCGTGCACGGCATTATTCTAGGTTAAATAATATTATGTCACGAGGAAAGCCTGTCTACCGTAATCGAACACGCGTAACACGCTATCTTTCATCAGATTAGAACACAAATCTCTCTCTCTTTTTCTCTTTCTTTGACTGTTTGCAGTTCGTGGAGAACTGAACTGATTCAAGTCTTTTCTTTTTTTCTTTTTAGTTTTAAGTATTGTATTTAATTAAATGTAACCCAGGCGAAACAAACGATAAGTTTGTTTACTTCTTGTAATCTAACGTATCTTCTTGCGATGATAATCTCTATCCAGTCATATCCGTACCGACGATTGGAAAAGAATAAGAAAGCGACGAATTTATTCGGTCCCTCGTTATGGTCCGCGAACCAGTTGTCGGCGCCAAGTGGCTTTAAGCCGCGACCGATCTGTAGACTGATTTTTTTAAGCTACGACGCCGCAAACGAATCGACTTTCTGCCCGATACGCCGGAGAAGTGAAAGAAAGGAAGAGATAAGCGAGGATGGCACAACTCCCTCGCTTCTGCAGCTGGTGCAATCGAGTTCTTTCATGCATTGAGCAACGTCTGACGTAACCGCAGAACCGGAGAGCCGTGGCGACCGGTTCTTCCGAATTTTGCTAAAGCCGCGATAATAATATTGAAAAGTGTCGTGAGAATAGAAACGATCCGCTTTGTCTTTCGATTTCCGTGGACCGGACGGTAAGAAGGAATGCTAACGGCCTTTGCTGTGCGCGCACCTTTTCCGGGGACAAGGCGACGCGGTGAGGCCCTTTGGGAATAATTCTTCCGCGTACACGAGGCCGCGGAAAACAGAAAACCCGATCACGTAGGTGCCGCGCATGGGCGTGAGTATGCTCGCGACAACGTGTCCCGTTTTTGAAATCGCCCCTACGTGATCGAGGTAGGATCCGCTTGAATTTCTCAGGAGGCGCGCGCGATTAGCAATCGGCCGTACTGGCGACTCTGCCAAAGATTACCAACGAGTTACGACCCGATATCCACCGTCGGTTTTTTAAATTTTACGCTGGATTCGGTCACCAACCGAATGCTAATTCGCTTCGACTTACATAACGAACACACGCAGCGCACGAAAGCCATTCCATGGTTTCACGCTTCTCTCTCCTTCTCTTTTTTTTCTTTTCTTCTTTTTTTTTTTTTTTCAATTCCTTGCTGGAAGAGAGCATGGAATAAGCTGAAATTGCTTAATTTCAGCTCACACGCACTTGATACGTACTTTCGTGTCTATTTAAAAAGGGACTACTGAAAGATGAGGTACCAACTACAAGATAGTATAAGAATTCATGTGTGTTCTGACAGCACTTTATTGATTAATATATTATTATAGATTATTGTTATATATTATTACAGTTTATAGATCTTAAATTATTATTATGTTATTATATTATAGATTATAGATTGTTGTAAAAATATTTGTGTCTAATATTTTAATCGAGTTATACTTTACTCTATTCTCTAACCAGATGAGAAATACTGTTATTATATTGTCAGTTATCGTAAGATAATAATTCACAATTATTTCATAATCATAAATAATCACAATGTATCGCTTAATATTTTGTATAATATTACTATTTTGTATAATATAAAATATAATAGAAATTATAATTTTATAATATTGTAAATATTATGAAATATCATAGAACACTTTGAATTTGTTATTTATTTTAATTTATTACAAAACTCAGCAGACAAATGGTATCTGTAGTGATAATATTAATAAGACAATCTCTTGAATTTCATTTAAATAAATATATAAAAAGTATTAATTTTTATAGATCTAGGATAATAATAGTAATAATCTATCCTAGATCTATAAAGACTAGTACTTTTATATATGTATTTAAATGAAATTCCATGCTGTTTTATAATAAATAAAAATAAATAACAAATTCAAAGTGTTCTATGATATTTCATAATATTTATAATATTATTATATAAAATATAAATAGAAATTATAATTTTATAATATTGTAAGTATTATGGAATATCATAGAACACTTTGAATTTGTTATTTATTTTAATTTATTATAAAACTCAGCAGACAAATGGTATCTGCAATGATAATATTAATAAGACAATCTCTTGAATTTCATTTAAATAAATATGTAAAAAGTACTAATTTTAATAAATCTAGGATAATAATAGTAATAATCTATCCTAGATCTATAAAGACTAGTACTTTTATATATGTATTTAAATGAAATTCCATGCTGAGTTTTGTAATAAATAAAAATAAATAACAAATTCATTCTATAATATTTCATAATATTTATAATATTACTATATAAAATATAAATAGAAATTATAATTTTGTAATATTTTATAATATTGTAATTATTATGAAATATCATAGAACACTTTGAATTTGTTATTTATTTTTATCTATTACAAAACTCAGCAGATAAATGGTATTTGTAATGATAATATTAATAAGACAATTTCTTGAATTTCATTTAAATAAATATATAAAAAGTACTAATTTTTATAGATCTAGGAAAAATTATTGTTATTATACTACAATTATTATTATTAAACATTTACACTGAATTGTGCGTTAACATATTAAAACATTTGCTAATTACTGGACGTATGTGCTTGGAATAAACGCACTTTTTAGTACTAAATGAGCGAAAAGACGAGAGAGGGCAGCACGTGTCTAGTAGTTACGATGTCTTCAGTCGATCCCCAATGTTCAAATATGTATTTTTAAAGAGCTGAGCCTTGTGGAGCTTTACTTTCAAAGGTATGCATACGTATATATTTATACATGCATTTATGCCAGAGAATCTGAACACGGATGCGTGCGAGTAAGCAAAGAAGCAAGGGAGTGCACGAATGAGCAATCCACCGCTTCGAATCACTTGCGCAACAGCTTGTGCTCATGTAGACGGTAAGAGCGGATGAACTTTTCCGTATTGGGAATGCTTATGAAATAATCTACGAGGATCGGCCGCTTAAAGGTTCGCTCTGGCGTCTTTCACCAGCTTGTAGGACTCGGGGGAAGAAAAAGAGAAAGGATGAAAGGATTTTCATTTCGAGAGGGTATGCCGGTTTTTTTTTTTTTTTTTAATCATTATTATTATCACAAACAATTACGACACGCTCGAATTCGAGTTGTAACACGAAACTCCTGAGATCCGTGCCGCGGGATTTTAGACGAACAACTCAGTCAGTCGGAATCGGGATGGTTGCGGAATAGGTTATGTGCGTCGTGCCAAGCTAAGCCAATCAAGTTGCGCAAAAGATATCGTACAAGTGGATAAGAGGAAGAAGACGGTACCGACAGCTATCGGGGACGAAGAGGATCGCCAGAAGAAATTCTCTGGCGTAACGTCGACCTCCCGTTCTCTACTCCCTCCCGTTCCAGACCATTTTCCTCATACTCTGGATATACTGTGTATATGTCCACCGATCCACGGCTCCATCGCGATGCGCTCATGTGGCTGTCGCCTTCGCTGTTGCGACGGCCATGCCGCCACGAGGGAACGAGACGAGGCCGCTAGAAAAGAAAGGAGAGACCGGGATAGGATGAGAAAGGTAAAGAGACGAGCTCCCCGAGAGTTCATCGTTTATTATGTAAGCAACGTAAGTAACGTAAGAGGGAGTCGAAGGCGCGGTAGAAACTAGAAACTGCGGAGCCCGCGAATCGCTTATCGGCTTGACATTTTCCTCGTAAATACTAATAGGACGACACTGGCTTTTGCAGCTTTGGTAATTTCATTTTCTTACCTGCTCCTTCTCTCTTCCTCCAACGAGTGTGTATGTATTTGTACATTACATAAATTATTATATTATTATATTATGTAATATAATATATTAATGATATAATAATAATAATAATATATATATATATATTGTATAATATAATATATATTATATTATTAAGATTATTATGTTATTTATATATTATGTATGTTAATTACATTGTTTATATTATATTATAAATATATATATCATATATTATTATAGTATATATTAATTATATTATTTATTTATTACATATTCTTTTTAAGGCAATATTATATTATGTAATATAATATAATAATAATAATATACTATATATTATATTATGTAATATAATGTATTAATAATATATATTATATTATTATTATTATGTTATTTATATATTATGTATGTTAATTAATTATTTATATTATATTATAAATATATNATATATATTATGTAATATAATATATTAATAATATAATAATAATATAATATATATTATATTACTAATATTATTATGTTATTTATGTATTATGTATGTTAATTACATTATTTATATTATATTATAAATGTATATATATCATATATTATTATAGTATATATATATGTTATATTATTTATTTATTACATATTGTTTTTCAGGCAATATTATATTATGTAATATAATATATTAATAATATAATAATAATATAATATATATTATATTATTAGTATTATGTTATTTATATATTATGTATGTTAATTGCATTATATTTTATATTTTATTATAAATATATATATATCATATATTATTATAGTATATATATATTTTTTTTATATTATTTATTTATTACATATTCTTTTTCAGGCAAGCGGAGCGCTGCGGTCTGCATCCGTGTTACGTTCCCTTCTATAGTAGCGCATCTTCTGCCCTGACTCCACGAAGAAATAGGAGAAGAGGAAAAAAGGAGAGCGTGGCTTGGGAAGGATCGTTTTTCGTTTCTCTTCGACAAAGTCGACCACCGTGTACAATCCTCCTTTTTTCGTGAGAAACTTTTCGTCCGCGGGCAAGCCGAGTGACGACGGTCGCGCGCGCGTAACCGGTATATTGACGTAGGTGCTCAATCTCGACACGTTTCGTTCTCGTGCCTCTTTTTTTTTTTTTTTTTTATTTATTTCCAGTCGTTCCCTCTTCTTCGTTCTCCGCCTGTTCGTTCACGACTTCTTTTCCTGGTTCGTTTTTTTTCTTTTTCCTCTACGTCCTCCTTTCTTCTTCGTCGTCTCACCATCTCTGGCTAGCAGGACGAGCAGGTAGCCCGTCTTTTGCGGTCCTGATTTCCTCAACTTCTCTCCGACCCGGGGCGAATACCTTCGAAGAAGCACGTATCTTACCCTCGCATGGTCATTGTTCGGACGGAAAGCCGTCATTGTGCGACCAAATCAAAGGGAATTCGAGTGCGTTTTCCTTGCATCCCGTTACATGACCGAGTGAGCTCCTCGAGACGAAGACTCGGTCAATACGACTCGTATACGCAAGGAGGAGAGCCGGCGAGAACAAGGCGAGGGGCGAAAAGGCAAAGAGGAACCTCGAAAAGAATCTGTGCAGGTCGTGGGAGGAGTCGTGGGAAAATCGTTGCCAGTAAGACGTTTTCGAAGCTGCTTAGCTTGGCTTACCGTTTGACACGTAACGATATTTTCCTCGAAAGTTCCTCATTTCCATTTTTCTATGTTCTTTGTCATTACCGTTATGCGGCGAGGAACGTTGGTTTTTTGCTAGCCCGTTAGAAGGAAAGCTGTTGAAATTGATCGAAAAGGGAGGAAATTACATTAGCGATTAGTGTGAACGATTGGCTGGGAGAGGATTCTGTAATACAAAAATAAATCGAGGGGGAATGAATAATCTTCGTTTTCGAGAAAATCGAGTTGTAAATTTTTGTCAAGCATACTTGAATTTGATTAATTTCGTTACTTTCGTACTTCTGTATTCCACGAACAAAAATGAATAAAATTTGTTTGTTTAAGGCTTTATTTTTGAGAAAGATACACTTTGAATATGTTTTGAAAATTGAGAAAATTTTCTTGGATGAAACAATTGTATTCTACGTTTTTTTTTTTTTTTTATTTTTCTACATAGACTAATCTTCTATCAATTTTGTTCTTCTATTTAGTACAGATATTATTTCAAATATCAATTAAGAAATATTTAAACTCAATTTTCTCAAAAAATAAGATCTTAACTCTCCGAGTGTTTAATCCATGCTGAAATATTACACAAATAATCTTGCAATCAATAATAAAATCATTAGTTAATTATTAGAGGTTCAAAGATGGTAATATATTACAAAGCATGGGATAATAAATACAATAAATACTTTCATCAAGAGGTACATGTGCAACTCCACATACATAAGTAAACGAAAGTTTTTAATTATGTATTATATACAAATTCTTTAATTTGTTTAATGTTTAAAGTTTTATTTGTTATATACCTAAAAGATTAATGAAAAAAATTTTATTCTTCTCATGCCCATTTTTGCATGTAGAATTATTTCTCAATTGTCCAATTCATATACATAATAGTATATTATAGTTATGTAACAGAAAAGTTACGTTCCAATAAAGATTCATTTAATTGAGTATTGACTAAAATTTGAATTAAATAAATGGAACCCATATATATATATGACATATATATATATATGTGTGTGTGCATGGATTTTATTGTAATATTTTAAATACTTTAATACATTCTATAATTTATTTTATATTTAATATTTCATATTTTTACAGATTCTTTTTTGTGCAAAGTATCATTTAATTTTCTTAATTTTGTAACAAATAAGATTTAAAAGTCAGTTAAGAATTTTAAATAGTGATGTTTGCAGCAAACATTTGAGTCCTTATTGTTAGTTGAAGATGTTATTACCATCAGTTTAATAATCATTATTACTTTTGTTTTTTAAACTTTTGGCTTATTTTTGATAAATTTTGTTCGTTTGATAAATATAATTTTAATTCATATGCAGTTCATAATTTAGTGGTTGTACAGATGCTGCTTCATGGAATTAGTTTTAATTCACAATTTCGCGAGAGAAGTAAAGTTAACATAAATACAGATCGGTTTGAGGTTGAAGATCGGTTTTAGCAAAGCATTTGAAACAGGTTTTTGCATATCTTACAACCTAATTTCCATACGAAACCGTATGTAAATGGATCTTCATTCATAGACGCGTGAAACATACCTCGGCTCCTTTGCAAAAAGACGGATTTCCTGATTTTGTAAAGAACAGAAGCGTCAGAAAACTTCTGGCTTACCCCTTGATTGAAAGAAACCTAGTAAATCGTGTCTCTATGCTGCAATCACGAATGAAAGGAACTCGGATTTCGCGATCCCCTTTTCTTCTAACGACGCTGTTGGAACCGTTACCAGAATTAACACTCGCTTTAAAGCGTAATTTTCCCGACCATTGAATTTTCCCCAATTATCGATGTAATCTAAAGCAACGACGATTGCTTTCTTAATATCAAAAACATTAACAAACCTTGTGAAAACCAAACATAAATTTATAAAAAAACGATGACGATGATAAGATTGTCCAATGAAAATTCTCTTTTTCAGGTTTCAAATGTTTGAATAATAATTATAGCTGATTCAAGTAAAGAAATTATGTTAAGATTGTTTTTAAAAGGAATAAAGAAATTCAAGTAAAGAAATTATGTTAAGATTGTTTTTAAAAGGAATAACTTGTTTATGATTATAGTTATACATATATAATTATATTATATATGTATAATTATAATTTCTATAATTATAATAACTATAACTATAATTTCTATAATTATAATAACTATAATTATAATTTCTATAATTATAATAACTATAACTATAATTTCTATAATTATAATAACTATAACTATAATTTCTATAATTATAATAACTATAACTATAATTTCTATAATTATAATAACTATAATTTCTATAATTATAATAACTATAACTATAATTTCTATAATTATAATAACTATAAATTCTATAATTATAATAACTATAACTATAATTTCTATAATTATAATAACTATAATTATAATTTCTATAATTATAATAACTATAATTTCTATAATTATAATAACTATAATTATAATTTCTATTATACAGAAATATTTTACTAATATTTTATTTAAACAAAAATTTATTTATTTATTATAATATTATTCATTAAATAATAATATTTATTTATTTTTATAATATTTATTTCATTTAAGCATAATTCATAAATTTTCTCTGAGAAGCTTTAAATGAAAAAAAAAAAATGCTGTTCTCTCTTTACGACTTATTTTTTTTTCTCAATTACTTTCTACTCGATTGTATCTCCAATGTACTATTTTTCTCATCAAAATCTTCAGTCCATGAAATAATTTAGTTGCAACACTGTAATTATATTATGACCAAAGCGTTTCGAATTATAACTGATAATTTTAAGGATGTTTGCACGGTGAAAATTATTTCCGATTTAAAAGTGACTCGCAGTGATTGACTTCTGTACGATCATGCAATACATAGTTGTAGCTCGCTTGCACTCTCCGTATCTCCCCGTACGAACAAACGAAATGAAACTGAAACATTTCATCTCTCGTCTAGCTGAAACTTCGCCCGGCCTGTTTCGTACCGAGTAATATCGACGAGATACGAAAAATTTCCAGAATTTCGCGAAAACGCAGAAATTGGTAATCGCGTGGCCGACCGGTAACTGTACACTCGTACTTGAACGCGCCTTGACCGTTTATTTTGAATTTGTCGCGAGTTCGATGACCGATGACGACGAACGACGGCCGTGAAGAAAGGCTGTGCCCGCGTAAGCATTCCTACGTTACGTACACGTGCACACACGTATCGCGACGCATAAACGCACGACTTGCATTCGTAATTTTTTTTTCTAGTCGATCCCTTGTATTTAAGGGATCTCTCTGCTTGGACGTCCCCTCTAACGTCTCGTTTTGTTTCGCAGCTCGAATGTCGATAAAATCTCGCAGCCGTGAACGAGAAAACCGGCCCGGCGACGATTCATCGGGGAGGAGAGACAGCCGAGCGTGGTTCGACGAAGAAAAATTGGAGGAAACGCAGGAGAAGGGAGGGACACATATGCTTTTGTTATTACAGGTTGTCGAAATCCTACACCTCTTCGCAATGCTTTCTTCTTTCTCCAGAAAATCTGTCTTCTCTCAATTAAGGAATCTCATTTTTTCGCTTTTGTTTCAGTTCATTCCACTGTTAATTTACTGTTGGATTCCGTGTAATGGAGTCAACACGTTTACAATTTAGAAGAGTTTATTCCTTTTCAGTCGTGGTCATGTATGAAATAGAATGATTTACAATGATTTAGAATGCCTTGGAATATGATGAATGTCTGATGCTCTTGAATATGATGTAGGATGATTTACAATGTTTAATGCTATTGAATATGATGTAGAATGATTTATAATGTTTAATGCTATTGAATATGTTGTAGAATGATTTTAGAATGTTTAATGCTTTTAACGATATAGAATGTCTCTATAATGATTTAGAATGTTTTATGCCCTTAATGATATAGAATGTCTTTACAATGATTTAAAATGTTTTACGCCCTTAATGATATAGAATGTCATTACAATGATTTAGAATGTTTTGTGCCCTTAATGATATAGAATGTTTTTACAATGATTTAGAATGTTTTACGCCCTTAATGATATAGAATGTCTTTACAATGATTTAGAATGTTTTACGCCCTTAATGATATAGAATGTCTTTACAATGATTTAGAATGTGTTATGCCCTTAATGATATAGAATGTTATAATGATTTAGAATGTTTTATGCCATCGAATGTCTCTGAAGCATGTCCTTATATATATTTGGTTATCATCGTCAAGTGGAAAGGGAAAAAGCATAGATGACAAACTATTGGATCTTGCCTTTATGACTAGCTATTCACAGTCCATTTATGTGGACTGTTGCTAGCTCATTGTCAGTATTTGCATAGATTCAATATTGTCCGGGTTGGTCATCCAACATTACAACTTACTATATAATTTGAGGGATGAAGTTAGTAAATATGAAGAAACAGCTATTAGATGTAGAAATCGTGGTTTGCTGAAATAATACACGTCTACACGTAGCACGTGAAACGTGTATCAAGTACAAGGAACCGTGTTCCTAATACACGTGTTAACGTCGCGCGTGAACCGTGTATTAAAATGTTAAAAATCTTGTTCACTTTATACAGGGTGGTCTCCATTGTTTTTGGAGATACGAAAGAACTTTGTTAATGAAAATTGCCCACTATGCAGGGATGTTTTCATTTAACAACTGAAACTTTTTAAATTTTCATATCAATTAAATATAAGTCGTTATTGTACAGTAAGTCACTGTCACATCCAAATTATTATTATTACACTGTTCCTTTTGGAATCTTCTTGTACTTACAACTTCATGTCGAAATGCTCTTGGTCAAAATGCATTGTTGAAAATACAAAGATAAACACGTTGTTTGCATCTCTGCTTAACAAAATTTTTATATTGTTCCTTTCAATAACAATTGACAAACGTCGTGGGTTATCAAGGCGAATTAATTTCTAGATCTAAATGCGTAGTTTTCACCAAAGACGAGAAGAACCGAATAAATAAGAGAACCTGGGTGGATAAGATTCAAAGCTAAAGGTGCCGCAGCAAGTTCAGCGGGGACACCTGCGTTAGAGGCGAAGCAGTGTTGATAATCCGCCTTATCCTAAAACAGGATCGACCGTGAGATTCCGTAGGCGTGTCAGGACATCTTAGACCCGGACCATAGCCGTGTCGTCCTTATATTTAACCACGCTGCTCACTTTTCCTACCTACCACTCTTCTTCTTTATTCTTGGAATTTTTATGTTCCTTCTCCCCGTCTCCAAGAAAGGAAAGCAAGGATTCAACGATTCGCCATCTACTCTTCTTTCGAGTGCTGTCTCGTTACTGTCTAAATTGTCTGTCTCAGGTTAGATACAGATACAAAGACAGTTATCCGTTTTGGTTTCTCTTCTTTTCAGTTAATTCCTCCAATTGTGCCTCGCTTCTTTCTCCTCTTTCTTTTTCCACTCCTTTTTTTT